GTAAATAGTACCATATAACTTTGTTGTTTGCAAGACTTTGTATATTTCTAAAAATTATGCACATTTCTATTTGCATTTCAAATTATGAAAATGATTCGTTAAACATGTTTGTGGGTTTTACAGTAAGAAATATAACTTTTTTCTACTTTGATTTTAAATTTTTTGTCTTAATTTAGATCAACTGTGGCAATATAGTATACCAAAATGAAAAAATAACTCAAATTTCAGACATTTGAGGTTGTGCTGAAAAAAATGGTACCAAACAAGGCAAGAAAAACATATTTTAAAGGTGAAATATAGAGGTAAAATCAAAAGTAGTCAAAAACGGCCAATTATACCCTGGATCCCAGAGGGTTAATATTGGCCATATTATATTTATATTACCAAAGTGAGATGACTTAAGTCTCATGAACAATATTAGCTAATTGTTATTTACTAGCTAATCTTAAAATGACTGTTCGGTACAGAAATGAAGCCCAACAATCATGTTTTTACAGTCCTGTGGTCTCAGCCTTAGATACTTATCAAATCACACAAAGCTCATGTAGAAACAAACAAACAAATTAACAAAATATTGTGGCATGCAGAGGAATCTTAACAAAGAAGCTCACAGAGAGAGATTGAGCTTGTTATTCAACCCCAAGCTGGTAGGGGGAGCTCTTTATGGTACAGCACTCTCTCTACAAAACAACAACTGTCAGTGACTCTGCACCACAGCGTAAACACAACATTCAAGATAACAGTTAAAAGTAACGTAACCATAAACAATAAAACAAGAACATCTAAACAGCAGCACATGTCCCAAGGCATGATGGGAGAGAACTAGCTGCTCCCCCAACACGCCACACAGCCCCCACCTGAGTGGTTAGCTGTCCCCAGCAACCGGCATGTCCATAGCAAAGTCTCTGAGGTGTTGGGGAAGGCGACGGCGTCGTTGAGGACGTTCCGTGGGTCCCCCAGCCGCCTCTCAGGCCAGGTTGGGGGCCTGCAGTTGAAGCTGGGACCCTGACTCCTCCCTGGAAGGACTCAAGAGCTGATAGGGTGCCAGGCGATCACGATGGAGTACGACCACCCTGTTCCGTTTGACCAGCCGCACCCTGTAGACCACGTCGGACAGCCTTTCGAGAACGGTGCAGGGTCCAACCCACTGGGTCATCAGTTTGGGAGAGAGCCCTTTCTTCCTCTCCGGGCTGTAGACCCACACATGCTGACCTGGCGAGAATCCTTCCCCCTTGCAGCGGGTATCATAAGCTCGCTTCTGCCGGGAGCCTGCATCTCGGAGAGCCTGCCTGGCCAACTGGTGCACCTCCCGTAGCCGGGCGAGGAGTTTGTGGAGGTAGTCCAACCCGGGGTCCCCGCACACCTCCTGCTCGGGGGGGAATCCAAACACCAAGTCCACTGGGGTACGAAGCTCATGACCAAACATCAAGGCCGCTGGAGTGCACTTAGTGGATTACTGGACTGCAGAACAGTAGGCCATTAGGACCAAGGGAAGGTGTTGATCCCAGTCACGCTGCTGGTGGGAGGTCAGGATAGCAAGCTGGGTGGCCAGGGTGTGGTTGAAGCGTTCCACCAACTCATCGCTTTGGGGGTGCAGTGGCATCGCCCGGGTCTTCCTGATACACAGCCGCTGACAGACCTCCATGAACACCGCAGCCTCAAAATTCCGGCCCTGGTCGCTGTGCAGTTCCTCTGGTACCCCGAACCGGCAGAACATCTCGTTGACCAGAAGCTCAGCAGTGGTAACAGCACTCTGGTCAGGGACTGCATAGGCCTTAGGCCACTTAGTGAAGTAGTCCATGGCAACCAGGACGTAGCGGTTCCCCTGGTCAGTGGTGGGGAAGGGTCCCAGGATGTCCACACCAACCCGCTCCATGGGAGCCCTCACCTGATACTGCTGCAAGGGGGCATGAGAGCGTTGGGAAGGCCCTTTCTGAGCCGTGCAGGCATTGCACCGATGGACATGGAGCTCTACGTCCTGGCGACACCTGGGCCAGTAGAACCGAGACCGAAGTCGCCGCAGAGTCTTGGTAACTCCAAAGTGTCCTGCCCCCACCGCACCATGGACTAGCTGGAGGACCCTGGAACGCAACTGTTGAGGTACCACGAGCTGGAAAACCTCACGGTGACCCCCGGGAGCCTGCCAGCGGCGATAGAGGAGGCCGTTTCGGTTTGTGAGTTTGGCCCATTGGGAGTAGAGAGCCTTGGTCTCGATGTCCAGTGCAGATACTTCTGACCATTATGGTCTCTAACCGGCTTCAATCCAACATTGAACCTGGGAAAGGGCAGGGTCTTGGTTCTGGTCGCGTTGCAGCTGCTGGGGATCCATGGCCTCCAGATCCTCGGTATCCCCTGCGGCGGACTGGACCTGAAGTCTGCTACAATGCCCACCCGGAACAGAGTCATTCTCAGGGCCGCCCTGTGGTGACGCGATGACTGAAGACATGCCCTCCCGGTCCTCCAAGCGTTGGCAGTACCTGCACTGTTTTTCCTCACAAGGGCGTCGGGAGAGGGCATCTGCATTGGTGTGGAGACGTCCCACCCGGTGACGAACCTCAAAGTGGTAATCTTGCAATGTCTCCAACCACCGGGCTAGCTGTCCCTCCGGTTCTTTAAAGCTGAGCAGCCAAGTGAGGGACGCATGGTCTGTGCGCAGGAGGAACTTCTTCCCGTAGAGGTAGGGTCCGAAATGGCGGAGACCCAGGATGATGGCCAGCAGCTCTCAACGGGTGACAAAATAGTTCCTCTCCGGTCTGCTGAGGGAATGGCTGTAGTAGGAGATGACCCGCTCCCCCTCAGGGCCTTCCTGCGACAGTACAGCCCCCACACCCGTGTTGCTGGCATCGGTGTCTACGACAAAAGGAAGCTGAAGGTCTGGGTAGGCTAGCACCGGTTCCTCAACCAGTGAAGATCGGAGCCGATCAAATGTCACGGCACAGTCCTCACTCCAGTGGAACTCCCGGCCCTTCTGTGTGAGCCAGTGCAGGGGCTTGCAATGGTAGCAAAGTCCTTGACAAAACACTGGTAGTATGATGCCAGGCCAAGGAAGCTCCGCAACTCAGCAGTGTTGCCCGGAATGGGCCAGTCCTTCACAGCAGCCACATTCGCCGGGTCAGTGGAAACCCCTGCTCCGCTGACAATGTGACCCAAGAAGGTCGTCTCCTTTCGGAAGAGGTAGCACTTTTTGGGGTGGAGATGAAGGCCAGCCTGGCGGATAGCATGGAAAACAGCAGTCAGGTTAGCCAAGGCTTTCTTGAAGTCTGTCGCGTGAACGAGGTGGTCATCCAGGTAGACCACACAGCGGTCGCGGGGGATGTCAGCCAGAACCCTCTCCATTAGGCGCTCGAATGTGGCTGGGGCATTGCAGAGGCCGAAGGGCATCACCTTAAACTGCCACAGTCCCTGGCCAATGGAGAAAGCAGTCTTTGGGCGGGCCTCTGGTGTCAGCTCCACCTGCCAGTAGCCACTGTGCAAATCGAGGGAACTGAACCAGCAGGACCCAGCAATGTCGTCGAGGGCATCAGCAATGGGTAGGAGTCCTTGTGTGTGATGCTGTTGAGTAGACAATAGACGATAGTCCGCCAGGTACCATCCTTTTTCCGAACCAGTACAGCCGGGGCTTCCCATGGGCTGTTTGAGGGTTCGATGATGCCATTTCCCTGATCTTCTGCTCTGCTGCAGCACGCTTGGCAAGGGTGGAGGCGGATGGGCGGAGAGGCCCCTTCCACTGCCAGCGGCGACAGGTCCTCAGGCTTCCTGACGCTGGCTGAAAAAGTGGAGGCAGGCAGCGGGACTTCCTTGGTGGCGTGGAGCTTCAGAGCCTCCGTGCCCAGGTAAAGGATTGCTCGGGACATGTCCACTGTGGCCTCCCATTTGGCTAGCAGGTCCAGACCAATGATGCATTGGTCCTGGATGCTGGCTAGCCAGAACTGGTGGTCCACAGTGCAGTTAGCAACAGTCACCGGGAGGGATCTTTCCCCCTTAACTTTGGCACGCTCCCCTGTGACTGTGATGATGTGGAGCTGAGTAGGCTGCCAACCCTGCGGTCTTGGGCCGTCAGTACCAGGGAGGACTCTGGCCTGTACCAAGGAAAGCGTGGATCCAGTGTCTACCAGGGCTCTACAGGTGGTGCCGGCAAGGTCACAGTCCAGATACAGTCCCCGTGTCTGGCCCAGCCGGCCAACCCGCAAGTGTGATTCGGAGGACAGAGTGGTAGGGGTGGCAGTTCCTCCATTGTGCCACCCCGCCTTAGTTTAACGGCAGCTGGGGTGCCAGGCTTCATGGGCTTGGTGCTGGACAGTAGCGTGCGATGTGGCCTGGTTCTCCGCACCGATGGCAGTTGCCCCTGGATTGGCCTCCTGCTTGTCTATTCCCTCGCCGAGATCGCCAGGGTGGTGTGATGGTGGTTTGGAGGGCCTCCTCCTCCTGGTTGCTCCTTTCGTAGTCCGTTTAGCGCACTTGGTGACTTGTGCCAGGGCTGCATGCACCTGGGCTGAGCACATGCTCCACTTTTTCGGCCTCAGTTAGAGCGGCTGCCAGGGTTTCTGGTGCATGCAGACGGATGTGCTCTTGTAGTCGTTTTGGCTGGAGACCCCGGACGAAAGCCTGGAGAGCAAGCTCTTCTTGTGCTGCAGCATCAAAAGCAGGGTACCCTCTTCGTGCATAAAGACGTAGGTCGGCAGCATAGGCACCCAGACTCTCCTGTTGTCTCTGTGGGCGGCTAGCAAGTTTATCTCGGGCATCATCTGCATGTGTACGGAGGCCAAACCTGCTCTGCATCACTCTGGGAACAGCAGGTCAACTTAAACGCTCTTCTGGCTGAAGCTCTGTGAGGATCTGCAGGGCCCTGCCTTCCAAGGCGAGGGCGACTTGGACAGCTGTCTCTTCTGTTGACCATCCGTTTAGCTGAGCAGCCAGCTGTACCTGGATAAGGTAGGTCTCTGGAGGTGCCTCCCCATTATAGCGTGGCAGCTTCATGCTCCCCTGGACAGGAGCCCCTGATGGCAGTGGCGGCTGCTTGGTCCAGGAGGCAGTTGGCGTTGTCCCCCTCGGCTGCCAGTAATGACGGTGTGCTGCTCCCAGGCATCACAATGAGTGGAGGCTGGCTGGCTGCTCGTGGTCTTGGAGCCTGCAGCATGCCTTGGCGGCTCCGACAGCTTCCAAGTGGGTGGGGGTGTGAGGCTCCATCTGGTAAGCCCAACAGATCTTCCCCTGGTTGGCTTGCTGCTGCCCAGGGCTCTACCTGCTTCTCGCGGTGTGCTCCATTCACCACTTCCAGGCGAGTGATAAGCTCCTCTTAACAAAGAAGCTCACAGAGAGAGATTGAGCTTGTTATTCAACCCCAAGCTGGTAGGGGGAGCTCTTTATTAAAACACTTGCTCGTGCTACAATGTGCCTCAATGTTCAACAACAGCACAACAGAAGTCACTCATGGTACAGCACTCTCTCTACAAAACAACAACTGTCAGTGACTCTGCACCACAGCGTAAACACAACATTCAAGATAACAGTTAAAAGTAACGTAACCATAAACAATAAAACAAGAACATCTAAACAGCAGCACATGTCCCAAGGCATGATGGGAGAGAACTAGCTGCTATGTTCTCCTTCATTTCTGTCAAACAAAGCTGTATGAAATGTTTCCAGCTGTAAGTATCATGGTTGCTAGGCAACCTGGGCAGTGCGACGGAGGCTAGACCGTCCCATTTCGCAAGCCTACAAGCCTCGCACTTCCGGCCTTAGCGGTCTTTGAGAATCAGAATCAGAATCAGAATACTTTATTGGTCCCTAGGGGAAATTATTTTTCGTTACAGTGCTCCATTATAAACAAACATTAACAGAGACAGACAATACACTAACTAAGAATAGCACAATATATACAGGCATATATATACATAAAAGTCACTTATTAATAAAAAGCTGAAAAAGAACATGTGCAAGAAGGGTATAGCTGTTGCAGTAAACAGTGTGTTAAGTGGATGAGTTGTACAGGGAGATGGCCACATGCAGGAATGATTTCCTGTGTCGTTCAGTGGTGCTTTTCGGTAATCTCAGTCTTTCACTGAACGTGCTTCTGTGACTGACCAGCATGGAGTGGGTGGGAGGTGTTATTGTTATCCAACATTGTCTTTATCTTGGACAGCATCCGCCTCTCCAACACCACCTTGAGGGAGTCCAGCTCCATACCCACAACATTACTGGCCTTACAAATCAGTTTATCGAGTTTGTTGGCATCTGCAACCCTCAGCCTGCTCCCCCAGCATGCAACAGCATGAGGATCGCACTGGCCACAACAGACTCATAGAAAATCCTGGGCATTTTCTGGCAGATGTTGAAGGACCTCAGTCGCCTCAAAAAATAGAGACGACTCTGGCCCTTTCTGTAAAGTGCTGTGGTGTTTTTAGCCCAGTCCAGTTTATTGTCAATGTGTACTCCAAGATATTTATAGTCCTCCACAATGTCAACACTGACCCCCTGGATTGGAACAGGGGTCAAGTGTCTCCTGGTCTTCCTGAAGTCCACTATCAATTCCTTGGTCTTTGCCATGGTGTTGAAAGCACTGGAAAAGTCAAAAAACATGACCCTCACAGTGCTCGCTGGCTGGTCCAGATGGGTGTAGACACGATTTAGCAGGTAGATGATGGCGTCCTCTGTTCCGAGACGAGGCTGATATGCAAATTGAAGGGGATCCAGATGTGGGCTGACAATGGGTTGCAGCTGCTCCAGGATGAGCCTTTCCAGGGTCTTCATGATGTGGGAGGTCAGTGCCACGGGCCTGTAACCCTGGGGGCCACTGAAACATGGCGTCAATATAAACAGAAAATAAGCGCTAAGAATATATATTTTACCTTAACAGTACATTTCCATATTTTTATATCTATTAGATAAAATCTGATACTTGCGAGATTTTATTCAAGCATTACTTTCCAGAAAGGGATGTGCACAGGCTAAATCCTGAGCAGATCTGAAGCATTAGAAGCCAAAATGAGCATAACATAATCAGTCATACAGTACGTCACACATAGTCACAGATAGTTTCAATATAAACAACTCTGCAGTGTGCTCTGCCTAGTTTCACTTCCTCTCTACATCCTGTTGTTTCGCAGCGGTGCACAAAGCGTCGCTTGCAGTTTCCTGTCTTAAACAGTACTCTGTGACCTTTAGCACACATTGTAACTCAAAGTGGCGTTTTACTACACCGGCCTATATAAAACAATATAAACAGAAAATAAGCACCAAGAATATATATTTATTCCATGACATAGTTCTTATTTTCTTTAATATGATGAATAATAAGATTCCTTAGTTTTACAGATAGCTTTGTTATAGAGCAACAAACTCTTTATGAGCTAAATAAAATTTTTAAGTAGTAAGACGACATTTGATCTCAAGTTTTAGGGTTATCTGCTATAAGCTATGCATTTCACATTTATACGAGGGAGTCAAGTACTTCTGATTTAAGACTTTTTTTTTTCACAGTATCCAGAACTATACAAAGTGAGGATGTAACACTATTAAAGAGATTATTGACTTCTGTGCGGGCTTAGGTAGCTGCTCTTTAACAAATTGTAAAATCTAAAATTGTTTCATAAAGTTGCTTTCACTCTAATATGCAAGCAACTTTATGACACAATCACACATCAAATGCTTGAGGGTCCTGCTTGAGGGTCTTTGCTATTCCTATAACTGTGCTCTTCTGGATAGAAATCTTGGATGTTGTTCCAGGGACTTGCGGTTATAAACCAAGCGGTTTGCCCAAGGAGTGGACTCAAAAGCAGACACACTGGAAAACTATTTACTGAGATTTATTGAACTCCGATAATCACAGGGTAGAGGGGATCTGGAGTAGGAAAACCTAAAGGGGACAACAAGTTGACTGGCACTGGAGAGGGGATCATGAGGGCTGGATAACGGAAGGGAAAGTGGCAACAAAGAACAGAGGAATGAAGGATCTGCAAGAAGATGGAGAAGCTGTTATTGTTATGAGGTAAGGAGCAGGTAACAGAAAGGAGTTTCCTGGTGAGTTTGTTCTTTTGACTTGTAGGTCCCAGCTCAGAGGGCTCTGAGGAGGGAAACTCAGTGGAAGTGTTGAGAGGTAGTTGAGCAGGCAGAGTATCTGGGATGCAGTGTCAGGCCGGAGGGCAGGCAAGCAGGCAGGGAAGGCAGCCAGAGATTTCCAGAGTGGAGGAAAGAAAGATATAGCTACATAGACATTTCACTATAAAAGCTACCTAAAAGTTTTGTGGAAAAATTTCCTTTCCAGATGTAATAATAAATGGAATAAAATACTTTAACTTCCTGCTAATATTAGCTCCATCCTGGCCATGAAGAGGGTGAAATGTTAGATAGATGTAGCGGGACACTTTTAACATGAACCTGGATTTCTTTCATTTTGTGCTTTTTTTTGGTTAATTGATCTAAATAGTCTGCTGAAAACAAACAAAATAAAGGTTATTGTAAGCATGTGAACATTTACAAGGGGATTTTGCGGGGATGACATCATCTTTTTGCAATATCTGATGCAATATGGACATTTCACATTCTTATGTCTAATTTGACTGGAAGAGGGAGCTATCCAATCAAAACATACTGTTCTTCCAAGCCTTAAAGTGAGAAGTTTAAATACTGCTCAGTAAAAGCAAAGGTGTTTGACTGAGCTCAGACGTGTGAAATCTGATATAGAAGAAAATTGACCACATACTTTATCCATATTTGCTTTGCTTTTTCTTTTCTTCTTCTTCTTCAACTTCCAAACAGAATATGTCTTTACAGAATGCTTCAATCAATGTAACACACTTTATTATAGGTGGTTTTGACACACTCAGTAGACCTATTGCTGTTGGTGTGGTTATCCTAATAACCTATCTTCTTGCTGTTCTTGCCAATATGATAAATATCATGTTTATTATTTCTGACAAGAGATTACATAAACCAATGTATCTTCTGATTTGCAACCTTGCTGTTGTTGATATAGTGTACACCTCCAGTTCCAGTCCAACAATGATTGGGGTTCTACTCGCAGGTGTTAATACTATATCCTATGTGGCATGTTTAATTCAAATGTGTGTTTTCAATTTGGGAACATCGATGGAGTCATTTGTTTTAGCATTTATGGCATTGGATAGATTCATTGCAATAATTTATCCTTTTCAGTATCAACGTTATTTAACAAACACACGTGTTCTTGTTCTTACATTTATCATGTGGTTCATTGCCTGGTGTTTTGCGTTTTATATGCCTGCAACAGTTGTCCCCCTCCCACACTGCAGTTCAAGGCTGAAATACAGCTTCTGTGACTTTGCTGCTGTAATAAGAACGACCTGTGTTAACCCAGAGAAATATTTCAATGAAGTTTCCATTGCAGCATTTTTTATTTTCTTTTTCACTTTCATTTTTATTTGTCTTTCATATTGTGGAATCTTACTTTTTGTAAAACTATCTTCAAATAATGAAAAAATGAAAATGGGGAGCACTCTTGTGAGTCACTTAATTTGTGTAGTTGTTCATTACTGTCCTGCGTTTGTTCGCATTATGTTCACTAGGTTTGGTGTGGTACTAACTCTTGAGGAACGCCAAGGTTTAGTAATTGGTGCAGTCCTCGGTCCATGTCTTGTAAATCCTTTTGTGTACTGTCTTAGAACAAAAGAAATTAAACAAAAGCTCTTTAAGATTTTCAAAAAGTTTAACACATCTGACTAAAATCTTGTGAACTGAGTGTGCTTATTTATTTTTTATTTTTTTGTAGATAAACAGATGTCGGTGTAAATTTTCAGAACATTATTTCACAAAATGTTTGAAACACCAACCATTCACTTTGATTCTGGCACAGAAGTGAGAATTATTCTACTTGTCGGTTTTAGACAAGATATTTTCCTAACCTTAACTTCAATTCACTTCATACAAAATTTAGAACTAAAGTTTTTGATTTTGTTTTTAATTTAGTTAAACTGTTTATGTGTCTGTGAGCAACAGTATGTTTTTTTTCCTGCTATGCTGTAAATAATCATATTTTAATGAAGAAAAACTAATCAACTTTAGTAATCATTTATTTGAACTCCCCCATATGGAAAAGATATATATAAATCTTATAAAGTTTGTATCTGTCTTGTGTGAAACTTGTATGAAAAGCATATGAGAGTGAAAACAGATATAAGATCCCTTGAAAAATTATATAATGAAACTTGTATGTTTTGGATACTTACTAAAACAATATATGAAAGTAATGAGAAAGTGGCCACTTTCATGAGTAAATCATGTAAGCCTTATATGATTTACTCATGAAAGTAAAAAAAAAAGTTTTTACTATTTCTTTTCCATATGGGTAATTCTTTTGAATGAATGGAATGAATGAATGGCTCCAACACCAGCCTAACATAGTTTAGATACCTAAGCTAGTGGACTACTGTATTTTGACAGACATTTCAGTTTTGTTTGTTAAGTGATCCTATATCAAAAAGACATCAAACGATCAAAAAAAGTTGCTCTGTGTGGGCACACCTGGAAGAAATTCTCTGGCTGGCTGGAGCAGCACCTAATAACCAGCTCGCAAAATTTAAAAAAAAAACAACCCCAAAACAAACAAGCAAACTAGGGCTGTCAATGTTAACACTGTCAACACGGTTAACGCGATTAAAGTTTTTAATATAATTAATCCATCTGGAGCGCAGAATGACTCAAAATCCCTGAAACAAGGACAGGATGCCTGAAAAATAAATTGCTGTTATCAGGATAAAAACAAGCAAAGTCAAGTAGTCAAGTAAGTAATAAATGTTGTGAGCCAATTAAATTAAATTCAACCAGCCCACTGGGGTCTTCCTGGTTAAAGGTTTCATGTTCTCCCTGTGCCTGGGGGAATTCTCTATGGTACTGCAGCTTTCTCCCACAGTCAAGAAAACTTGCATGGAAAGTTAATTATTGGTTCTAAATTGGCCACAAGTATGAAAATATATATGGAGTTGTCTTTCTCTCTGTGTCAGCCACTGTGACTCGCAACCAGTCCAGGGCATTCTTTGCCCTGTCGTGGCTGGGATATGCTCCAGACTTTTAGATAAGTAGAAGGAAATGGATTGATGGGGTTGAGGCATTCTAATCGAAATCAACATGCGCATAACCAAGTTGTCTTTTATTTACCTTTGCAAAGGAGTCAAACAACAGTACAGAGTACAAAAGTAATTTACATTTAATGTCATTCTTAAGGCCCTTTCACATCAGACATGACACGCATTCCAAGCACTGCATTGACCACTAGCTGGAGCAAATAGCTCAAAATTTGTGTTGCGTTGGCTGCCTGCACTCTGCATGTGCGTCATTTTTTGCGCCTGCTGCACATGTTCTAGACGCTCCCTGTCATTTCGAAACACATATCTCTCATGCGTACTTGAATGGAAATATGTAGTTTGAGTTTCATATGATGTCCTAGTACAAAGATTAAGACATTATTGTCATGGGCGGCAATGTTTTTCTTGCTGTCCTTCATGTCGTGGGATGTCTTAATATAAAACTCCTGCATGGACCTCAGTACATTTTGCTGTGCATTTTATATTGTTTTGCAGCTGACAACAAGTGTGTTTAATATAACATTAATATTATTTCAGATAACAACAAAGGAGTTAATTGAACCTTTTTGATTACATAAACAGAAACCATGCATATTTTACACATATTTACATATTTCACCTTTTAGTGGTGAGTTGGATAAATGTGCAGGATTCTTAACATAATGTTTGCTTCTGTTTCGCCAATAGTGGCACCTCTGATGACGGAGCTAAACTTGCCGTTTTCGCCCAGTTATTGCACGACCGTGCACTGAAGTGGGCACAAGTAATGTTACTTACTAACCTTGAAATCTCTTACTCAGATTTTTTGGCTAAATTTAAGAATGTTTTTGACAAGGGATCCATAGCAACAGCAGCCTCTCACCAATTACTAAACCTCAATCAAGGTAAGCGGAGCGTGTCCGACTTTTCAATTCATTTTTGGATACTGGTCGAAGAAACAGGTCAGGGTCAGGAAGCAATCAAAAGCACTCTTCTAAATAATGTGTGAGGATGAGCTAATTATGCGTGAACTGCCATTTTCTCTATATGCTCTCATGACTCTATGCATCCGGGCGGATGATTGCCTCCAGGCTTGCCGGCGTATGCGGGGTCGTGGTTTCTGGGAGCCGCTGGCACCTGTGGACTCACTACCAGGTGACGGAATATCCAAACCCAGACGCACACGTACCGTATTTTCACGACCATAAGACGCACTGTACTAAAAGGCGCAGTCTCAGTTATGTGTGCCATTACTGTATTTAACACACACATAAGGCGCACTGGATTATAGGGCGCATACAAGTACCGTATGCGTAGTTAAAAATAAAGCGGGAGCAAACCTGAGTTCGGTACCTTACTCACATTTCTATTACCGGTAATCATCATCATCAACAACACACAAGCATACAAGTGTGCATATTTAAAACTAAAGCAGGAGCAAAACTGAGTTTGGTACTCACATTTTTATTACCAGTAATCGTCATCATCAACAACATACAAGCATACAAGTGTGCATATTTAAAAATAAAGCAGGAGCAAAACAAAGTTTGGTACTCACATTTTTATCATCAATCAAACCCATCGAAGTCCTCATCCTCTGTGTCTGAATTGAACAGCTGCGCTAAATCTCCATCAAACATGCCAAGTTCACTTTCTTCACTGTCAGAGTCACTTTCCGTGCCGTGCGGCTCCTCGGAAATGATGCCGACTTTTGCGAAAGCTCGAACAACAGTGCCAGCAGACATGTTAGCCCAAGCATCTACAATCCATTGGCAAATTGTGGCGTAACTCGCCCGGCACTGCCTTCCACTCTTGGTGAAACTGTGGTCTCCATCGGTCATCCATCGCTCCCAGGCCGCTCGCAGCCTTACTTTGAACGGGCGGTTCACACCGATGCCCAGCGGTTGGAGTTCCTTTGTCAGGCCTCCCGGAATGACAGCAAGCTCACAGTTCATTTGTTTCACTAGTTTTTTCACATCGGCTGTGAGATGGGCACGCATAGAGTCACAGATTAAGAGCGATGGTGATGCGTGGAAAAAACCTCCTGGTCTCCTTACATACACCTCCCTCAGCCACTCTTTCATAATTTCCTCATCCATCCAGCCCTTTTCATTTGCCTTAATGATGATTCCTGCTGGAAACTTCTCTTTAGGCAAAGTCTTTTGCTTAAAAATCACCATAGGTGGCAGTTTCTGTCCATTAGCATGGCAGCCAAGCACAACAGTGAAAGAAGACTTTTCATACCCCGTTGTGCGTATCGCTACCGTGTTGGTCCCCTTCTTCTCCACAGTGTGACTCACCGGGATGTCAAAAGTGAGCGGGACCTCGTCCATGTTTGTGATGTGGCTGGGCTGGATGTTTTTGTCGCCGATGTGTTTGCTGCAGTAGGAGCTCGTTCTTTGCTCGATGATCCACCGCTCGAGTCTTTCCTCCAACTCGGGCCACCTCACCTTATGTCCGCGGAAACTCAGCTGCGTTTTCTTGACCTGCCGGAGCTTGTTTTCTAGCTTCCTCCGTTTGCGAACCATCGATTCGTTAATCTTAAATTCTCTCGCGGCTGCTCGATTTCCATGTTCCTCCGCATAGCTGATGGCCTTCAGTTTAAACTGTGCTTCATAAGCGTGTCTCTTTGCCATTTTCAGGGTTGTTAAAACAATGATGTTCCACATAATGCACATACCTGTCCTTTTATACAGGTATGTGCGATTGTCCGGTATATACGATCAACGCCCACACTTCACACTTTAGCGTTCTCATGGTGTTCTCTACTACGTCCTCCTTACAACACACAGGGCGCACTGCGCTATAGGGCGCGCCGTACTTTTTGAAGAAAATCTAAGACTTTTAAGCGCGCCTTATGGTCGTGAAAATACGGTATATGGTGATGGTGAAAAGGGAGAACAGTCCATGCAACTGGGGCGCTCACGACTCACACTTGCACAACATCAACGCCACCTAACCACTGGTGAGGACAAGTGACAGGGTGGCTCTGTCACTTCGTGTTCACTCTCTTTCGGTAGAGTATCACTTCCTGTTCCTGCTCAAACACCGTGGTGTTTTTGAGTGGCTTATCTGCTTAGCAATTTAATTAAAAACTTTTAGATACATTCTTTTTGTCATAGCATAATCTTCACGTGCTTCATCCGAAGCACACTTTCTGTGTACTCACTACCTAATTTATAGCCAAAGTATTCACTCACTGTGTCTTTACTGTTTCGCTAGCTTAGCATAGCTTGCAGCCCACTCGATAGCAGCATGGACTCTTCACCTGTCCCTCCTGCACTTTCCTGCTTATTGTGTCAGATGTTTAGTTACTCCTCGGCCTCCTTTAGCAGTAGTGATACTTGTAACAAATTTAGCATATTTGCTGCTCTGGAGGCCAGGATACCTGAATTGGAGACTCGGCTTCGCACCCTTCATTCACCTGTAGCTAGCTAGGCCTCTGTAGCTGGTGCAGCCAAAGATAGCATAATGATAATAATGGATTGGAGTTATATAGCGCTTTTCAAGGCACCCAAAGCACTTTACAATGCCACTATTCATTCACTCTCGCATTCACACACTGGTGGAGGCAAGCTATGGTTGTAGCCACAGCTGCCCTGGGGCAGACTGTCACCAGGGTGCAGAGGAGGCTACCCCCCCCCCCCCTCTGTCCCCTTCTGG